TTTGGAAACACTAAGTGCATAATGACCAACATTTTCGGTACCAGTATTAGCTTCTAAAATTTGATGCTGTAAATTACTATAACTTACAGAAACACTTATGTCTTATTCAGTATGTACGAAGTTTCGGGTAGATAGATACACACAGAACAATAATACAGTTTGTATGAATGTATGATCACATTTTATATTTATGGATATGAAAAAGAAAGACGGCTTGTAAAGTATAGTTAATTTCAATGTTGATGGGGAACAGAATATACAGTGCAAGAGATAACATGCCTTTTTCACTCTGTTTTTAACCTGAGGTTTTACCAAGTAGTGGAATCTCTTGATCAACTTCACTAGTCCTAAGTAGCCTACTCTTGTTACTCACGATTCACAAGCTCTCAACCTACATATTGAGCCTACTCAAATATTATAAACATAAAAATAATTTCCAAAATCGCAATGGTTTTGAGACATATCATTCGTGGATTTCTAGTTATTGCATAATACGGCTAAGTTCAAACAGCTCATCTGTCATAAACCTCACGTTAAATCTGTATCTAAAATATATCTTTATAATCCCCAACGCATGGTAACAACTAATCCACTTTAAGTGGAGTTATTTTCTAGTATAAATGCCACCTAAAATCAATCCATTCTGAAAAGATTACATTCCATTCCGAATAACAAGGAAACATTGAAAGTGGTAAAAAAAATAGCTTGTAAAGCTGAAGCATAAACGTCTCTTGGAGCAGTAAAAATAATGGTTTACACTGAGTTATGTGTGAAAAAAACGAGAAAAGGGCCGTGTTTGGTGACTTGTTTCTCCCCGAAAACATAGTCAAACAGAAAACCAACAGCCGAAAACTGTATAAGTGGTTTTTAGCATGTGATAGATGGGCGTTTGTCGACACACTGGACTAAGAATATGTCTAATTATTGTCTTCAAAAAACGCCATACTAATTATCCTGTTGGTGATACAAGACTCTAACAATGGTACAGAGCATATCTCGAAGGTTTTTTATTGCAGTTCACTGCTATAGTCATAAGTTAAATATGCGGAGGGTCAAGAAAAATGTCAAGTTTAACCTTGCGTGCTACCAGCCTAATGTGATAAAATTATTATAACTCAGAAAAGCACCAAGAGATCATTCAGCTACATGTCCAAACCAACTTCAAATTTCCTCCGTAAGACACGAGTACAAATTGGGATTGATCATTTGCAGACATCTCCAATAAGACTTCAGTGCTATTAAGTTGCTTCGGTAGTCGCCATCCGTGCAAAGTTGATAGGCTTTGGAAAGAATGTTAGGATGAGGGTGGGAGGGAACATGTCTATCTACAGTAAAAATAGAGCTGCAGAACAACTTCCCTTAACCTCGGCCTAGGCATTCATCATTATATCTTTATCATAGATCACTTTCTGTAGCATTATTTGTGTAAGAAAGTGTTCAGCAGATCTGACAAACACTTTTTAACCTGTTCATTTTCTTTTACATCTTTCCGTTCCACATGTGTTTTTTTACCATTTTCTTGTTAGTTATCATTCTTTCCAGTTTTATGACTGATTCAGATGAATATATCAAACAACTTGAGATTTTTTTTTAAAGAGAATTTGAAACTATTTTATTGTTTCAGAAATAACTGAATAACAATTTATTTTTATACGGTATAAATGTATCTAATAAAGCTAAAAAAGAAACTAATAAAATACCACAACTAATGCATCAAACATAGTGAATATTTGACTATATATTTGTTTTATGTGCTTTCATCACTTTTCTTCATTTCTCATTGTAACATATGGACATCTCACACAAAAACACATTACCAAAAGATCTATTCTTAGACCATAGTTACGTGTCTAGAAATTCGGTCACTGTAGTAAGCACTCTCTAATCTCATATGAGTGGATGAATTGGTTTTTATAAGATAGTCCTTTTGATGACGAAAACAAAAATACATTGATCAGCAACTCATAACGAGGAAAGAAGCCGATATTGCACTTTCTAGGTTTGTATATAATATATAAACGAATACACATTATACTAATCCAACTTCATGATATATATATATATATATATATTAGACATATATATAAGAAGCACAATTTACCTTGAAGAAACTTACCATCTGTTTCTTTCGTTTTGGGCAAATTCGAAAAACAACTAAAAAATACAAAACAATACAATACAAGACATCGTGTGGATGGTGTAAAATACAATGTAGATATAGTTATTTAATTATACTTATATTTTCCAGGCAATTGTAATAATAAAATCGTTTTGATAGTTTATTTGAAAATGCATTTAGTATTCGGGCACACATTATGTAATAATGGGAACATTAATATTCAAAGATAAAACAAGTGTAAAAATAATATCCATCTTGAACAGTAAGTACTGAAGCTATGAAATTAGAAATTGTAATTAATCAGAGATATGGTCAATAACATTTTGGTCAGCTTAAAGGATTGATGTACCTTATTTATTATGCATTTAAGTTGGAATTATTAAATGAACTTCTTCTCATGTATATTTTTTTCATCAATTTTCAATGATTATAAAATTAAAGAAAAATATAATACAAACTTTATATGCCTGAACAAGTTTATCAAAATATGTTTCTTACCTCTGGTACAATATGTGATACGAAAATGGCGAAGTACTATAACGTACTTAAAACCATTACATTGTAATCCACTGTGATTATTTCTTAGTTGTTGCTAAATAATAAACCAAAGCCAACTTGAATAATCTTCCTTAAAATTGGTTCAGGTTATAACACAACATGTATGATATATACAGGAGATCAAGTAAGACTAGTATATCCAGTTACATGAACTCTTAACAAGAAATTCATATAAAAATGTTGTACATATTAATATTTATAATTATATCTAGTCACCTCTAGATGAAATTGTATTGAAAATAATGAACATTTTGTTATCTGTAATATATTATAAACGTTTACAGACCCATGTAACTAGCAATTTGACAACATATATGTATATTAACGTTTGTTCATTAGAGGTAAATGAAAAAAAAGCACGAATTCTGATATTTCGCATCTGGGAATAACTTCGTGATAAGCTATTATCATATGGAATTATAGGAAATACAGTAGAAATTAAGACGAAGAAAAAATTAATTACTTTGGTTTCATTCAAATTACATTTTTTTGCGAACTAAGAGTTACATTTCAAATTTAGCAAGTAAAGTTTTAATGAATTTCGCAAGCAAATGTCAATTTTACTTGAGATCTATCTGAAAGGACTTCATAGAAAGTTTTCTTTTATTAATATAAGAATTCACCATCTAAAGTTAATTTCTGAACGTTAACGGTTTAACATGATTTTAGGCATATACATATATATTAATATTTAATTAGAGACATCAAAGTATAGATTTATCGCAATGTTTTAAAAAGGAATGTCATCAAATTATAAATTCAGAGCGGGTTCATTTTTGTTGAATTTCACGCCAAAAATGCTCTAGGGATATCTGCACTAGTCGTCTCTAATTTTGAAATGATAAACTACAGAGAAGGCAGATAGTCAACGCCACCCACCGCAAACTCTTGGGATATTGCTGTCAGACACAGTGTGAACTGAAAGATTGAAATTTCAAAAACTTAATAATTGATTTACATTGATTATAAGACTAACATTTCTTCAGATAGATTCAAACTTTAAATTTAGTTCCTTTTATATTCACGTCGCTACCGCTCTTCTAGCTGTGCCAGCCTTTCATTCAAATGAATTTTGAATAATCATCTTTTTATAACTCTTAAAACATAAATAATTTTTAGTTATAAGTTTTACTTAGATTTCATATTTTGACTTCAAAGGGAGACTTTACACACAAACGTATTTCTGAAGATAATTTCCACACTCTATGTACATATATTTTAATATCCACCATTGCTTTCGGTCAGTTGCTGCATTTCCATATATATATATATATATAATGTAAGCAAAAGCCTCTGAATAACAAGCGCTTACATTAAAAGTTCATATTCCCAAAATGAATGAAAATTACATTTATCGACGTTAAGGTATATTATTTAAATCCTCTTCCCCCCAAATGTAGATCTTTAGGATAATTCTAAAAGTCAAAATTCTTCATTTTCAGTTGGATTAAGCAATTTAGTATCATACCCATTTATTTATAGATTTTTAAGAACTTTCTTTTAGGAAAAGCACCGATATAAATAACGAATAACTTTAACCTTAAAATCCGAACTTTTTTAATGACTAATACGGGAGATTATTTTTTCGTTTGATATTATAAATGCATAAGTTTCATGAATTCTGCATCTGATTTAATATGTCTTGTGTTTAAGTTACATTCTTCAACTTAACTAGGTTTATGGTAACATAGGGCTCATTTAGTTAAGAGATAATTTGAAAAAAGGTTGTTTTGTAGAAACTACTCTATATATTCTTTGTATGTTTCATCGGAAAATATCCACACCCCTTATATTTCTGTTGTTTGCCCGGCATGGCCAGGTGGTTAAGACACTCGACTCGCAATCTGAGGGTCGCGGGTTCGAATCCCCCGTCACACCAAACATGCTCGCCCTTTCAGCCGTGGGGGTTGTTATAATGTGACGGTCAATCCCACTATTCGTTGGTAAAAGAGTAGCCCAAGAGTTGGCAGTGGGTGGTGATGACTAGCTGCATTCCCTCTAGTCTTACACTGCTAAATTAGGGACGGCTAGCGCAGATAGCCCTTGTATAGCTTTGCACGAAATTCAAAAACAAACAAACAAACAAAAGACATTTTAAATTACCATACAAAAAATATACATGTATATAATTCGTACTGTGAATGATCACAATATTCAAAATACTTAATCTATATGACTACCAAGTGTATGGAAAGTTGTTAATATTGGTATTGACACGATAAATGACTTGAATGTGTACCATATTAATTATCTCGTTTTTGTCAGTTTTTTTGTTTTCATTGCACTTTTCGCAAATTTTTATTGTTAGGATGAAACACAATATTTCTTACCATGTAGAAAGAAAACGGAAATACTAGTGGCCTCGGCGTTGGATGGTCCGCAAGTGTAGTTCCCGGAATCAGTAGGTTGAGCATTTTTTATGTACAAAGTACTGATGGCGGAATCATCGCTGGCCTTCTGCAGTGATATCTCTCCTCCCTCTTTGTCGTAGTTGATCATTCGTTTGTTGTGATACCAGAAAACGAACATTGGAGGCTCTGGGCTTTCACTAATGACACATGTAAGGTTGATGGAACTGCCTATCTTCACATACATTGGATGCGGACCAAGAATTTCTGCCTTTGGTACTGAAAAAACAACAACATAAGTAACAGCTGTTTACCAGCTCTAATATTTACTTATTACAATTTGTATCATCGGATAAGATAATAAGAATGTAGTTTTATTTAGACTGTACTCTTCTGTAAACCTTTTACTAGTAGGAAAAGGTAAATATTTGAGTACGTAATTATTGTGAGATCGATCAAAATGAACAATTCAAACATTTTGTTATCTAATCAAACGCACCTTAGGTGTGAAAAAAAGGTGCGGCCAAAAAAGGATTGAGTGTGAAAGGAATGAAATCAAAATTGGCGGCCAGACTGATAGCTACACTTATAGCATTGATAAGAATTTTACAGCAAATATTCATTCATTAGTTAGCCAGGCCGCGTTTTTTTTTGTTCATCTTAGGGCATTATGGTTGGTAAAACAAAAACATGAATCGCGAGAACAATTATGTACTCTATAGGCTACAACACAGCATGGCATAAAAAATTTTAAAACCAAGAAATAAAAATATTAATTTCTCTTAATTTTGGTTTTATTTACTTTTGAAACAGAACACTTTGGGAGACCCTGCGAAAGTCTACATCTAATATTATAACTATTACAGGTACAGAGAAGGGTATGGCGAGTTAATGTAAGTATGAACAATTTATCCCAGAAATAATTGTACGTAGCCATGAGTTTTATTCGCTTACTTTATAGTGCCATATATATATATACCATATTAAAAAACTTAAAATACATAAGAATGTTTTTCCTTGCAAATATCTTTCGGTGTTTGTTATTAGAAAGCTATGCAAAATACATGGTAGCACACAACTTGATATTTTCTTACAATACATGGTAGCACACAACTTGATATTTTCTTACAATACATGGTAGCACATAACTTGATATTTTCTTACAATACATGGTAGCACACAACTTGATATTTTCTTACAATACATGGTAGCACACAACTTGATATTTTCTTACAATACATGGTAGCACACAACTTGATATTTTCTTGTACTATAAAAATAAGGAAGAAACTGTATTTCTAACCTAACAATCTGAAATATACGGTTTGGTAGGAATGTTTCGAGAGTTACAACTGTTAACTTTTAAAACTGTTCAGAGCTCGCGGGATATAGTCACTCTAGGTAATTGTATGAAACCAGATTTTCGAGCTCCTGCTAATAATTAGACACAAGGTTAACTCTTTGACTTCGTATAATTGATATACACTTAGAAACATTTTCATCAAGCTGAAAAATATTTATTTTATCGCTACTTAAACATCTATTTTGTTATTTTTTTTTACATTAAGGTGTTAATTCATTTTTATCCAAGCATTTCAACAAAGAAAATATATGCTATAATAGATTTCTCTGTGTCTTACCGACAATATTGAGTTGAACTAGAAATGTAATTTTCGGATCGGAACTAACTTGGCACTCGTACATCCCCGCATCTGTGGTCTGTGGGTATCTGATCTTGAGAGGCCAGTCTTGACCTCCTTCTATATGAGCGGCACTGAATCTGTCATCATGGATATAAGTCTCAGTCCCAACTGTTAAAAGATGAAGATCCCTTCTCCGAATCCAGGACACCTACGAAAATGACAGGGATTCGGATCACAGAAATTCTCATTACACATAACTTTATTAAACTTATTTTATTTGTTTTTTTGGAATAAGTGTGCAAGTTTATTTTAAAGTTTTCTGAAAGATTGAAGAAAAAATGTTTAATTTCCTGTTACTGTTTTATAAGTAGTTTGTTGCAGTTCTTTTGTTCACATCTTTAATTATATTTCTATCATTTAAAAATTATTTTATAATAAAAAAAAAAAATTTGCCCCCCAGTGGCACAGCGGTATGTCTGCGGACTTACAACGCTAGAAA